AAGGGAGCTTCTTGGAAAGGTTTGTTCAGAAGGGGTTTGACATGGCCATCCTCTGAAAGAGTGCTCTTTGCCCAAGGTCACCCAGTGGGTTTCCATTTCCCAGGCAGGATTCGAACCCTCGTCTCCAGAGTCACAGTCCAGCGCTCAAAGCTCTACACCACACTGGCCCTGAGTGCTCTGTGTGTGTGTGACTGAGAGTTATTTTAAAAACATGAAGTTTTCCTACCCTGATGAGGATTTATTCACAAATGGGGGGGGGGCATCTACACTGTAGAAATAATGCAGTTTAACACCACTTTCTCTGTCCTGGCTCCATCCTCCAAGATCCTGGGATTTTGTGAGGCACCAGCACTGTTTTGTAGAGAAGACGAAAGTCCTTGTGAAACTACAGATCCCAGGATTCCACAGGTTGAAGCGACAACATTTAAAGTGGTGTCAGACTGCATTATTTCTACAGGATTGATGCACCTTTAAACTCAATACACATGGAGTCTAATGAACACTGGTGTGTGTTGTTTGTTGTGGTGTTTCCAACTTACGGCGAACCTAAGGGAAACTTATCATGGGGTTTTCTTGGCAAGTTTCTTCAGGGTGTGTGTGCCAAGACCATCTTTTGAGGCTGAGAGAGTGTGACTTGCCCAAGGTCACCCAGTGGATTTCCATGGCTGAGCCAGGATTCGAACCCAGGCTTCCAGAGTCATAGTTCAGCACTCAAACCACTACGCACAGCTATCTCACTGATTTATCCTAAAAGAAATCTAATGCATATTGAAAGGTACCTATATGCTACTCCTTATGTAGGAACTGTATAGCTGCTGTTAGCTGTAGCAGCTGTACTTTCCTTAGGTAAATATGAAATAAAATCCAGCCTTCCACCCACAACATTCTCCGCATTGGACAATATTATGTATTATATATTTACCTGGAAAAGCAGGCACTTTAATAGTAATGCCATGAGGAAATAGATAAACCAGGCTCGAAAAGAACAGCTTTGCTTATAGTTTCCTGCAAGCAGAGGGGTTTTTTAGGAGATGCATAAGGGGTGATCTTAGGGGTGTTGTTTGGGGATGATAGTTTCTTTTTCTGCCACCGTTTTGCCATCCCCGATTGAAGCCTGAAGGGGAATCGGTGTGCCTTTTCAGGTCCCTAGTAAATAGGCAAACTCTTCTTTATTTCTTTGCCTGGGTTTGGTTGTGCATTTCTAATTTTTAATAGGGTTTTGGAAGTTAGAAAACAGCAGCTTTTGTTGATTTGGTGTTCTCCATAAGTATGTTCTGCAGCCTCCCGTAATGAGAAGCATGTGTTCCTTCAAGGTCTATGGAAGCATGTGAAAAGCATTCGTTTCATGGCTATGGGGCATTTAAAAACAACCACGACATAAGATTCATGCTCCACAGTTATAGGGTGAGGCAGAAAAGCTGTGGCGCCGACCTGGGAAATAATACTCTTTATTTTATGATTGTGACCATCAGCACTGGGATGACAGAGCTGAGTAGTGAGCTCTTCTCATAAGGCTGCAAACTGAAGCAAAATGTTGGGTGGCTTCTGCTGTTGGGCAACCACCACGTGATGGAGGTTGAAGATGGAGCAGGTTTGTTTTCTGCAGCTCCAGAGACTAGGACCTGGAGCAATGCATGCAAACTACAGGAAAAGAGATTCCACCTCAACATTAGGAAGAATTTCCTGACCATTAAGAGTTGTTTGACAGTGGAATATGCTGCCTAGGAGAGCAGGGCAGTCTCCTTCTTTGGAAGTTTTTAAACATAGGCCGGATGGCCATCTGTTGGGGGGTGCTTTGATTGTGAGTTTCTGCATGGCAGGGGGTTGGATGGATGGCCTTGTGGTCTCTTCCAGCTCAATGATTCTATGAAATAAAATGCCATTTCCTATCGGGGTAGGCAACCTTTCCCCTTTAAGGACTGAGGGACTTCAGCTCCCAGAATCCCAGGAGCTATTGGCCAACATGGGACTATTGGCCAACATGGCTGAGGCTTCTGGGAGATGAAGTCCCTCGGCCCTTAAAGGGGAAAGGTTGCCTACCCCTGTGAGTTCCAACTGACTATGGCAGGGGTAGGCAACCTTTCCCCTTTAAGGGCCAAGGGACTTCATCTTCCAGAATCCCAGGAGCTATTGGCCAACATGGGACTACTGGCCAACATGACTGAGGCTTCTGGGAGATGAAGTCCCTCGGCCCTTAAAGGGGAAAGGTTGCCTACCCCTGGACTATGGGGTAGTCATTGGATATACCTTCTGGGGTGTCTGTATATAGGTCTCAGGTAGAGACCTTTATTTGGAGGGGGCACAAATGACACCCCAGTCCCCAAGCACTCTGCAAGCTGGAGGATTTTAGAGTGTGTCCCACTGGTCCCCGCTGGCTTTGCCTGCCCCATATCCTCCCTGTTGAATCCATCCTGACTTACATACTGGCTGTGGAATTGCTCCTGCAGCTGGAGCTTGGATTGAGGTTGCTTCAGTGAAACCACACCTTCCCTTATGTCAGGGAAAGGATGCAGAGGGCTGGTTCCTCAGGCTTAGTTCAAGGTAGGATTCTGCCCAAGGAGGAGGACCAAATGGTGAATCCCATCCTCCCCAGTTCCAAAAACATAGCTGAAGTTGAATCTTAACACTACTGATGGGACAGCACAGTTGGACCTTCATATCCATGGGGTATCCATTCCGGGGACACACACCCCACAGATACAAAAAATTGTGGGACCTCAAGTCCTGTTGTTCCTAATGGTGGCACATACACTGCCATTTGGGACAATAGGGCTTGCCATCTGTGGATGCTCAAATCCACAGATGGCAAGCCCACAGATGGTGAAGTCCCACTGTATCTTCCCCAGCCCTGAGAAGAGTATCAAATCCGGAGATGGCAAGCCACAGATGGTGATGTCCCACTGTATCTTCCCCAGCCCCAAGGAAAGTAAGTTTCCTTAATGTATGAAGAGAAAGATACATAGCGTGTTAAGCTGTGGCCCCAGTGCATCTCCCAGTTTGATATTTGAGAACTAGATAAGATCCTAAAGAGTAAAGATATACAACTGAGCACTAAAGTAAGAATCATCCAAGCCATTGTATTCCCCATCACCATGAATGAATGCAAGAGATGGACAGTGACAAAAGTTAATAAAAAGAAAATCAACTCATTTGAGATGTGGTGCTGAAGAAGAGTCCTGAGAATACTGTGGATGGCCAAAAAGGCAAACAAATCCTGAACATAGTTTTTAATGGGTTTTTCGGGCTGTGTGGCCATGTTCTAGAAGAGTTTCTTTCTGACATTTCGCCAGCATCTGTGGCTGGCATCTTCAGAGAAAGTAAAGATGCCAGCCACAGATGCTGGCGAAACGTCAGAAAGAAACTGTTCTAGAACATGGCCACACAGCCCGAAAAACCCACAAAAAAACTCTGGATGCCGGCCATGAAAGCCTTCAACTTCACAAATCCTGAACAGATTAAGCCAGAAATCTCTCTGAAAATCAAGATGATCCAACTGAGGCCATCATATCTTTTGGCTACATCCAAAAAGACAATAATGCTTGGAAAGGTGGAGGGCAGTAGAAAGAGAGGAAGACCATAGTCCCGATGGATAGACTCAATTAGGGAGGTCATGGGCATGAATCTCCAGGACTTAAGCAGGGCAGTGTCGGATAGGAAGTCTTGGAGATGTCTCATCTATAGGGTTGCTATGAGTTGAGGCCAGCTTGAGGGCAGTTAACAACAACAAACCTGAGGCAGATGCTGGCCCTGACTGCAACACATGATTGGACCTCTGTCAGCGAGACCAGGGCAGGGGACCAACCGTATATGATCAAACTTTCATATCCAACATCTGTACATTCATGAAAGCTTTGTATTGGATATATGTCTGCCAATGTTCATCTGGCCTGCAGCCTTTAAGACCAGCCCAACATATGCAAGTTTAATAGAAACCTCTCCCATAGAGAGTAAGATGGGGAATTTCCATTATGCACACCAGGCTGCTTTGGAATGACTGAGGAGCAAGAGGCAAGAAGAAATCTCCGAACCTTAGTTGGCAGAATCTGGAGCAAAACCATTCATGAGTATACATAGAAAGGGGGTTCTGTTTTCTTCAAAGTGAATGGGTTAAGTTAAAGCTTGTCCCTTTAAAAAGCTCATTTGTGTTGGCATGATAAAAGTTGTATTCAGGTACCTTGTGCAATCCAGAATGGGCAAAGGGCATGCTTTGCGCCTTGGGCAGCCTTCCCTGTTTTTGCAGGCCTTGACCCCACCAGACATGCTGGATCACCATTTCTTGTAGCCAAAAAAAAAAAAAAAAAAGCGAGAGAGAGAGAGAGAGAGAGATAAAGATATAGAAGCTTACAGGGGAGTAAAGCAATTCTGGTGCTTTACTTTACCATTCAGGAGGAAGAATTCAGCTTTTTTCAGCTGCCTTACAGAGGATCTGGACTGATGTTTAAGATTTTCACATAATAAGTGCAACGTTAACATATTGAAGGAACCACACTAAGGAATAATTGCAGCAATATGTAGAGTTCACTTTTCACCAGACCTATGTAGTTGTAGCATCAATGCTTTGACTCCCACCTCCCATTTTCCCTTTTTGCATGATGAATGCTGCCTCCCTTCTCGCTGTCTGGTTATGGAAATGGGGTGGGAAGTGGCAGGCTCTGACTTTATCATAAGCCCCGCTGTCTCTCTGCACCTCATCCAAGTTGCTAAGATACCCTGAGCAACCTTATCGAGTGATCTCACTCAAAGGGCAATGGCTGAAGTTTTATTGTGCTAAGCAGTGTTTACCCAGTGTGGCTTCCCTTTATTGAAATGCTCCTTTTTAGCATGCAGTGGAATATTGGAAGTGAGACTTAAAAATGAAAATTGGGCATTTAGAATTGTGCAATTTGTGGCTTTCCAGAGGGTAGCCTGCAGCTCCCATGATTCCTCAGCAATGGCTGAGAGCTGCTAGGAATTCCAGTCCCAAGTTCAGAAGTTGCCTTACAGGTATGTCAGAGGCTATAAATCAGGGTAGGCCATCTAGCGTGGCATAGTGGTTTGAGCATTGACTACAACTCTGGAGACCAGGGTTCAATTCCCACTTGGCCGTGAAACCCGTTGGGTGACCTTAGGCAAGTTACATGCTCTCAGCCTCAGAGGAAGGCAATGGCAAACCTCTCTGAACAAATCTTGCCAAGAACACCCCATTATAGGTTTGCCTTAGGGTCATCATAAATCAGAAATGACTTGAAGGCCCACAAAACACTCTCTCACACACAAACACACACACAGGCCATCCGACACACTCTGTATATTTTGGATGACAATTTCCATTAACTTCAGCTAGCATGATCAATGGCCAGGGATTATGGGAGTTGTGTCCAAAACATCTGGAGAGCAACAGGTTGCCTAGCCCCTACAGGGCAAACTATGAATTAAACACTGAATTAGCCACCAATGGTAGCTAATGATCCCAGTCATTTCTGGGTATGCTGTCCCGTAGGTCTCTCCACGGAGAGTATTCTTTCCAGTTTAGCCATATAACTAGTTAGAACTATGTGATATTGTTGCTCTGTCCCCATCTAAATCTTCTGGATTGTATAGGCTGCTCATAGCAGGACCTTGGAAAATATTGGATTGAATCTAGTTAGTATTGCTTTCTTCCACTGAAATCAATGGGATACGTAATGCACACAGTAATGCACCACAGCTAATGCAATCTCACTGAGTTCATGGAGTAAAGTATGACTGATTT